AATAATACATAAAAATAAACTCGACAATTGAATGAATTTATTAGGTAGGTATATTATTTAATTTTTTTCAATTTCTATTTAATTTCCTATGTCTTCTTGACAAATATATCTACAGGGTGTCACGAAAGGTTTGTTACAAACCTTTAGGTATGGTAGATCTCGTAAAGAAAAAGCTTTTTTCTTAATAAACATGTGTCCGGCAATGCTTCGTTTTCCAGATATACAGGATGTAAAACTTTGTGAAAAAAATCAATTTTCACATTAATTCTCAGAAGTGCGTGCGTTTTAGAAAAATCTATTTTTCTTTTTTTTGTTTATTTTTAAGCAACAAATAGCCTGGTTAAATTTCAGGTAATTCTGTGGCAATTCATTTTTTATTTATGGAGGTCAGTGACGTTCGTGGTTCGCCTGGAATGGTTTTTAAATTTTATCTCGAAAACAAAGCAGCATACGAAAAAAATGAAGAGACAGAAAAGTTGTATCTCTAAGTGTTCTATTCAAAAAAACAATAAATAAAAATAAATCTCTTGGACGATGTTTTTCGTGCAAAAAACCATCCGACAGAACCTGTGGCACGTCCCTGGCCTGGAATTACTAGGTCAACTCTGAGCAGTCCAAAAGATACCTCATAAAGGTGTCAACAAACTATGAAAATTTCATTTAATTCGTCCAAAGCATTTCTAAGAATTGATAAAAAAATTGGCCTTTTTTTACAAAGCTTAACATCTGTATCTGTATCAGGAAAGCGAAGCATTTCCGGATATATGTTTATCAAAAAAAAAAAAACTTAATTTTTACGAGATATACCATCCCTAGAAGTTTGTAATAAACCTTTCGTGACACCCTGTACATATATTCAATCAAAATCAACAATAATAGTTAAAAACAAACTCGACAATTGCGGCCATCTATTGTATTCCAAAGATGTTGGAGACTAATATGGACCTACACGAAAGAGTTTAATGAGACAGTTGATTTATTGCAGTAAAAGCCAGCGGTACGGTTCGGTACGGGTAATTATATCCTAAGTTGTAAACATTATGCAGACTTGACAGATAGTGCAGACGAGCTTACAAATGTGAATGGCAGAAAAATAAGCAACTTGAATATGGTAATGTTTATCTACTCAACTACATAATATGAATAAGAGTGATATGTTTATTGAATTTCGTGGAACAAATGTGATCTTGTGGGTTCACTTGTCATTTGTTTGAAGTGAATAAGGCGATGAAATGTGGAATTTTCAAATACAATGGCGTAACCTCCATCAGTGTCGGACTAGGGGTCATTTGGCCCACCGGGCAAATAGTGAAGTGGCCCACCCAACCCAAACCCCATTCAATAAAAACAATTTTGATAGTAGGCATGAAAAAAATAGGTAATACCACAGGGCACAGAGGACTGGAACTGTTGGGTACTTAAGGTTTACTCCACCTACCTGCCTATATTTTATTGCTATTTACCGATGCATTATGTAGTTTGTAGTTGTATATAAATTACCATAAAAATTGAGAGTATAGGTAACATAAAAACAACAGGATATATAATATTATCTCAGAATTGGAGCTAGAGGCTAAATGTATTCGGATTGCTCTACAGCATATTCTTTTCTCCACGAAGTCGAAGATGGTCCGGACAATCCGGGCATTGAGTCTTCTTGAACCCTTTTTTGATTTTTTGGTATTGAAGGCAGGGCAGATTGTTATGCGGGATGGCGGGTTCAGACCAAGCAGACAAAACAACGATAAGGATAAGACTGAGACATTCATGTCTCGCGACAAAGTCGAGACATTCATGTCTCGCGACAAATCCAATACATTTCTGCAACAGCTTTGTCTTTTTCCGAGACTTAAGTCCCGTCGTGAGTCGGTAAAGATCAAAGAAACTCTGATTTTTCTGTGTATTTTACGACAAGTTGTCGGCAGCGTTGCCAGACTCTAGATATGGAAGTGTGGTACATAATGCTCAAAAACTGTCGTACAGGGACGTACGCACCACGAATACTTGTGGTACACATTACCTCACATAATACATTTTTAGTAGGTACATACCTATTTACTAGAAAAAATATGATTTTTTTTAAGAACGCAAAATGTTGGAAACTTGAAAATAGACCTTACATTAAAAATTACAGCAACAGGAGTAACGGGAAATCAAATGAAACTATTTATTAAATTTATTGAGGTACTTTGTAGGTACTTAGTCAAATTGAAACAAATTCTTTTGTAACGTTGATGGTCGATTATGTGATGTGTCAATTGTGTTATACTCTCCTAACTCCCCCACCATCAAATTCTGGGATACTCGAGGATCAAGAACACTTAAGCTGTTTTCTTGCGATGGAACTTGTTCGATCCGGTTCAATTAGTTTCGAACCTATACATTCTTGCGTTGAACCAGTGACGTCACATTGAACCTGGTTCAGAAAAGTTCGAACCGGAATCATAACTTATTCTTCGTTAACATAAGACTGTGGTTCAAACCTTCCATTTTCTCGCGTTCATAAGTAATGACGTCATCTACAAATTGGTTTAAACCGTAATTGAACCATTCGCCCCGCGAGAAAACGCTTTTAATTTCTTCTGTGTTAAAACAGACCAAAAATCACCTTTTCTACATTTAAAATCGACAAAATTTAACTCACTAGAACAGCCTAAATCGCAAGCACTCCATCGAGGTCTGCGGGTGACGTCATCGCTATAAGATGCTGATAGTGACGTCGCAGGCCCAGAATTTGATGGAGAGGGAGTTAGGGGAGTATGACATAATTGACACATCACATAACCCATCATAATGACATGCAAGGTTGTCAAGCAAGGTACCCAAACTCCACCCAAACCCAATTTGGCCAACACACATAAGAAAAAAAGGAGAATTTCAAAACTGTGGTACTTTACCGTACTACCATACGCATTGATTTTCTTGTAACGAAGATGCCCTAAACTGTCGTACAAATACCACACCTGTCGTACGTCTGGCAACGCTGGTTGTCGGCGCAGTGTGGACGGGTGTGCTGACAAAAGTAGGAGACCAGTGTCAATCTTAAAGTGATTGCTAACCTTTCTGTTACACTTATAGCATTTCTGAAGTTAGTATGTCTTTTGGCAACTGAAGTACTAACAAGAGGTGCTTTCCAGTGACCCATTTGAGTTACTCCTGAGCAGCTCAGGAGTGCTCCACAATTGCTTTGCGCGTTCCAGTGCTTAGAGTGTCGTACACTTGAGCTACTCATTTCTGTTTTCCCCTGCCCCCTCGTGCACCAACCCTTTTGTCTGTGTTTCATGCTCCTGAAATCCGAAATGGTGGGGGTTAAGACGAGAGCGTTCCAGTGCTGCTTATGTCGAACAGTTCAAGAGCGTCACACTGCAGGAGCATGATACTCTAACAATTTAGGCACTGGAAAGCGGCTAAGGCATATTAGAAAATTCTTAAAGCTTGAGCAAATCTCACCACTTATTCCAATATCATCCTCACGTAACTGAACTAGGTAACAGTTTATTTATGGTAGACCTTTTTCGCTTTTTCAAGTTTGGTCTCACCCGAAAAAGGTTTTCGTTTAATTGGACATTGGATGAAGATGAAAGATATAACAGCTGGCGGCTGACAATAAATCTCCATTCTTTAAATTTTCTTTGTGGAAACGCCACATGGCTAAGCAACTGATTCGCATCAACCAACAACTACATTTTGTTGCACATGTTTGTCTTTGTGGTGTCGACAATTTGTCTCAATTTTGTCTCGTCTCAATAACAAAATTTTTGTCGCAGTTTTGTCGTGTTTTTGTCTCGAAATAGTGTTTACTTTTTGTCTGCTTGGTCTGGACCCAGCATTACTACTGCTTGATGCTGCTTTTAACAGTTGGTCATTTCTTGCAGTCGGGGATAATTCTTCTGTTTCTAGAATCTCTGTAGAAGTAGAACATGCAGAAGCATCCTCGAAACTTCTCTCGGTTGACAGATTTGTATTTGTTTTAGTATTCAAAAAAAAACGATGTTAGTTGTTGGCTGGATGCTGCAGCTTCTAATAATTGTCGTTTTCTCGCGATCGCTTTTCATTCTGTATCCATTTTATATAACTTCCTCTTTTTTACCTTTCCGTTTTCGGATATCTTGAGGTAAAAAATGAAAAAATAGTGATAGCGAGGGAGGCGGAGATCGAGATTTTCAAATGATGTGAGGATGTGGCTTTTTTTACAAATTCACTACCACGTCTCTGTATTTCTAAAAATCAACAACGACAACTGGTACGTCAGTGCAATTCAAATTCACTGATATGCGGCGGGCGATTTCTACGCGACTCAGGCTTGAACTTTTTCAGAGCAGAAGGGAGTTGATATTAATATGATAGTTGATTTTTTGTGACGGTGGATATCGCGAAATAACGTATAAATTGTTGATCAATGGCGTGGGAAGTGAGATATTTCAATTTATTTTTATAAATATTCGAATGGCCCACCTGTCCCCACCGGGATTTTGCCCGGTTGCCCGGAGGGCCAGTCCGACACCGACCTCCATTAGTTTTTGTAGTCACTTCAATTTTAAATAAGAATAATCCTATAGGCTGTAAATGTGCCATCATTTATGGTAGACCGGTGACAAAAGTAACAGGGTACAATAGTAACAAAGGAATTATTATAAAAACCAAAGTTGACAACACCATATCGGGCTAACCATGTGCGCCCACTCCTTATTGCGATTCGCAGGTAAGTTGTTATTTGATGTTCAACGAAAGAGTGTTGAGCTGTGGGCAAAATTCTTCACAGCCGTTCATAGTAAATATGTATTCCGCTGTATACTCTAAATGATAGTGAAAAAATAATTATTTAGCAGGCACGTTTCATTTTCCATTTTCATTCCAGTTGTTATTAACCGGACTGAGTAACAACTCGTTTGGGTACCTATACGTTTGTAGCGTGATACAATAATTGTCCCTGATTACTTATAAGTACTTATATGTTTTTTTGCGAATAGATGAGTATTTTAATCCAGTTGTAATTTCAGAATGCCACGGACCAGAATCAGGACACAGGGCAAAAAACCTCTGCATTTATCAGGAAGCTTAGGTCAAAATTTGCTTTAGTAGAGGTAAGAAGTTTTTATTACTTGTGTTTTTTTTATTATTATTATATAGCATTTATTGTTTCTAAGAAAAAATATACATTCAATTTTTTTTTTCAAATATACTTAACAATAAATACAGGATTCAACATCTTTGATTCAACCCCACAAGAGATGTTTCTCGTCTGTGGGGACAATAACAGGTTAGTAAATGTAAATATTTACATAATTTATGAGAAAATGGAGAAATAATAAACCATATAAAATCTGAAATTTAACCAACGACTATTCTCAAAACAGTGAATCACCATCGAGCTCATCAAATAAAGCCCTGCAAGAGTTTGACTCGCACGACGAGGCAAATTATTAAAGCTCCCTGCATATCTTTCATTTAACATAAGCAATACATAAGTATTAAAAAAAAAAGAATAAATGCAAATCAGATCAAAATTAAAAATTAAAATTTAAGATTTGAAAATTAAAAGGGAAACCGTGAATAAAAAAAAAGTAGAGAGGAGAAAGAAGAAGAAGAGGGAAATTTATGAGTATGAAGGCACTGTCAAAGAAAGAAAGAAAGAAAAGCATTGATTTAGTTTTTTTTCAGGTCTATGAGGCTGTATACTTCTTCTGTGGTGATACCAGTCAAAATATATGCCTTCAATTTATTTTTAAAATTTTGTTTAGAAGGTGCTTGAATAAATGGGGAAATTTTTTCATAAATTTTAAGTGCTATCAAAACATCTCTATCCAATCGATATCCTTTGGAAGAAGAGTTGTCTTGGGTCCAGCAAACCGCATTCATTAAAAAGTGAATCTATTGGGTAAAACCTCGGGTAAAGCCTATCTTTTTTAAAAAATATTTTCAACAGCCATTTTTGTGAAATTGTGACTCTCTCTAAATATATTTATTGGTGACACGACCCTGTGCCAAAATACCGGAATTAAGATGTGACTGTGCTAGCTCACAATACAATATTTTTAATTGATCCGTATGGAATGAATATTCCATCAAAGTCAAAGAATCGGAAATTATGTAACAGTGATATCAATTTTTTGAATACGTATTCTATATGGTGATCTTATCTTTAATGGCGATCGATAAACACACTCGGATACTTTTAAGTTTTTTGCAACTCATAAATTCCCAAATAAATTCCAGAGTTTTTTGTATGTATTGCGGCAACCCATTGCTGTAACAACTGAAAGGCATGAAAGTTGTTTTTTATGAAATTTATAGTCAGGTTATTGTTATCAAACCACTTGACTTACCTTGCAGTTCTTCCCAGCAGTCTGCTTTGTAATAGGAAGTAGCATCATCTGCGAATGCTGCAACTTCAGCTCCTCCCTTAACTTTGAAAAGGTTTTTAATATAAACAATAAAAAGAAGGGTATTATTCGATAACCTGAAGAAGATATTGACGGGGGTATAACAACAATACCTACCAAAATCGTCACAAAAAAAAAGGAATCAGACAGAGGAGCACTAACGCCTTCGATACCAAGTAAGACCACCAAGAGTAGCCCTATTGGTTCTGTGGTTGCAAGCAATTGAATGGATTGGCTGCTGGAAAAAAAGTTTGAGAAAGTTCTCTTACTGTTAGATAGCCACTTCTCAGATGATTAAAATGGAATAAATGGCATTGTGTTTTTGTCGTTTTACCGTTACCTTAAGCCATCCCTAACGCCAAGCAACATACATGCTGAAGGATACTGGTATAACTCCTTTTAATAGGAATACTGAGTTAGACTAGTTTGTCACAGATTAATCTGTTCTGGTGAATTGAACGCAGCAGACGTAATAGATTCCGTCGATCCATAACCCGCGACTAGCGCAGCATTCGCAATAGATGCTATAGATCCAAATAAAATGTAAAAAGACAGATCCATTTTCACCAGAGTGCAAGAAGGTAGCTTGACCAAGAAAAGATAGTATGAAGAAAAGGAGAGCTAGATGGTGAAGATTGGGATAAATATAAATATGTTGGTAGAATTCAGTATGAAGTTAATACTACTTTGCACAGAGTTACAGAAAAAACACCTTTTGAATTACTATTCAGCTTCAAACCAAGACATATAGATAGTGGCGTCATACAAGATGACCCAGAGAATCAAGACTTTGGTGAACACATAAAAGATCGAAGACAAGATGCATTAGAAAAGATTATAAAAAATCAAGCAAAGCAGAGAGAGAGATTTAATAAAGGAAGAGCAAAAGAGACAAACTACGTTCCAGGAGTCTTGTCTTAGTTAGAAAACAATCAAATCCACCTACAGGCGAATCAAAGAAAAGAAACTATTGGAAAAATATAAAGGACCTTATGTTATTATGGAAAAACTACCGAATGACAGATATCGAATAGAAAACCTTCCTGATACGGAGCGTACTCAAAAGTTCTACAAAGGAGTAGTTGCTGTTGATGCACTGAAAAAATTTAAACTATCTGAATGTGATGATTGATGATTCCGAAGATGACTATGATGATGATGGGCAAGAACAAGAAGAGTCTGAGCATCATATAATGGCGAACTATGGTGACTAGTAGCCCGATTGCGACAATAAATCCAGAACCTAGAAAAAAACCCTAGAAAAACCTTCTAAAAATAAACTTACTTGGGCCACGTAGCCTTTCTTTTTCAACAACCCAAATATTTTGCTATCTTTTCGAGTTGTCAGTGTTAGACGTAAAGCGACGTTTCCACATGCATAGTTTATTGGTGCCAGTCGACTGGCGCAACTTTTCTTGCGCGTGGAAACTCGGAAAATTAACTTGCACCAGTTAACTGGCGCCACTGTTTGTTTTGATTTTTCTAGGTTAAGTTCGTGAGGTTACGTCAATGTCATTGGGTTACGTAGAACCGAGAACCGACGTTTATCATTTTTGTGGCTATTGATCTTCTTTGTGCTGTGAAAAAAATGAGTGAGGCGACAAATGAAGTTAGTGGGGTGAAAAAAAGGGCTCCGAATTTTTCCCCTAGCGAAAAAGAAATGTTATTTAACACTATTTTTGCCTTTAAAGGGGTAATTGAGAACAAAAAAACAGACTCTTCAACTTGGCGTCAAAAAGATGATGCATGGAAGAAAATAGCATCTCTGTTTAACTCTCAAACTCCAGAAAATCATACCATAACGTAATAATATTCTAAACTCAGACCAACCAAACTATAAACAAACCAAAGACGCCACTACGCTAACTTTCAAAAATGACAAAAAAATGACAAATTAAAATAAAATTAGTTACCCTGCGTTTTTATTCTCATCAAATTTCACCGATGGATCCACCATTCTATGGCCGTCATTGTCATTTTCCATTCACTAAACAAAGATAGCTCACTCATCGGTGAAGTCACCGATGAGAATAAAAACGAGACTTTACTTAGGGGTCAGTTTAAGCCCAAAAAATCTTCGGTTTATCTTGCTCTCATTTAGGTCTGCCTTAAGTGCCGGTTCAACGACTGTGCAACGGAAAATAATTAGTTAAGGGACACCTAAAGTTAAGCTTCACTCAAAACGTGTTAAGTGGAACCCGTGCAAACGGCCATTATCCATGCGCCAGTAAAGTAGAATAGAGGTCTACTTTTTGGCGCCAGTTTGTCATCTGCACCAGTTTGTCAAAAAAAATACAAACGTTTTCACTAGTTGTCTTCAGAAAAATAATGGAAATGTCAAGTAAATTTAAAAAATGGATCATATTATAAAGTTTTTGGAAGTTTATGAAGAGCATTTCTGTTTGTGGAATCTTTTGTGTTACAAAGACAGGAATAAACGGGATGCTGCTATAGCAGCATCTCCTTATAAGGAGAAGTGTTGAGGTAATGCCCAAAGTTCGGGTTCGTAAGTGGTTTTGATATAACCACTGCTAAAAGTAAAATAAGAAGCAGTAGAAATGCTTCATGGTCTTCATCTGCTAACTCAGGCAGTAAATTATTTGATGTTCATAGAGCTTTTCTGCGTGAAATCCATTTTCGTACCAGATCTTGTGTTTGCCTCTTTTTTTCTTGTTTTTGCGTATCTTCTGCAATTCTAGTAACAAAATTACTACAACGACATTAAAACCTGCTTGAACCTCTTCAGTTGACGCCATTTTTCTACTGCGCCAGTTAAAAGTTTCTGTTATCAAGTGGAAACAGATACTGGCGCCACTATTATTACGCCAGCAAACTGGCACGTGCACTGGTGCCAATAAACTATGCTTGTGGAAACGCCGCTTAAGGTTAGACATTATTGGACATTATTATTAATTATTCAACAGTCTGTCAATATTTATGGTGGTAGAATATGTGTCGTTGATAGACAAGCTTTTTCTCGATTTTGATATGAGAATATCATTATTCTCGCACGCAATAGTTATTTTTGTGCAATCGTCCGCGAAATGAGATTTCGCGGCCGCCACACAGTCCGCGAAATTCAATTTCGCGGCCGTTGCTCTTGGTGACGGCCGCGAAACTATAAACAAAATTTGACACTTTAACAGCAACAATGAGTAAATTTTATTTTCAAATTCTTCAGAAAAACATACATTATTTAGGATAAATATTAACACTTACGTGACAGTTTGCATTATTACTAATATTTACTCCTGAAGCTGAAGCAACTAATAATCTAGTGTTTTTGAATTGAACTCTCAAAACTTTCCATTTCTGCATTAAATAAGTCAATAGGCGATTTCGCCTCAGTTTGGTCTTTCAAACAGGTACCAATCAATTTCGGATGGGAGAATGATGCTGTCACGGCAACTTTGGTAGGCGTTTTGGTTTGTCAGATGCTATACCGCGGTTTGACTGGGTAGTGGAGATTTGGTAGCTTTCTGTCTCTTTTTGTCTCATGTCCAAATAAATATGTCAATGCCAAAATGTACCAAAAGCTCTATCCACGGAATTCGGATGAGATTGTTGAGCTACGTCACTTACGTACCAATTGGTTAACCATTCGCCTACCAAACAGCGGATGAAAATGTGGGGCGAAATCGCCTTATATGTTTTCAGACACCATTTTGACGTTTTGTTTGTCACACCAATTTTTTGAACTC